AATACCTCTTCATTTCTAACCTAACAAATTTAAATGCAGATTATTGTCAATAAGTTGCTACATTTACAAATGAACCTATTATTCGTTTCGAGTAGGTAGTTCTACGAAATTTCGACGTTGTAGGTCCAAGATTTAGAAACTAAAGTAAACATTTTGCTGTTCCATATAGGTACTATAAGTATGAAGCATTCCATCAACGCTTTTATGCGTTACATGCACACGTATTCCGCTAGCGGGTAAAGAGCTGTGATCGATTGAGATTGATAATGTTCGCCTCGAAGACCCACTAAAGCCACACATACAGGTACAGTTCATTAGTAAACAATCCGTGGCCTCAAGTGAGAATGGCTTGCTTGTATCGTGGGGTCCACCTGTGTTCTCGCGCTCTTGCTATTATATATTATAACCGTCATTGTCCGATGTGAATGAAGACCAAATAAGGTCTTTCAAGGTTGTCGGATCTGCCCAGTGCCCACCGATATCCCGAAGGAAAAATGTCAATCCCTAGGGTACCAGGGAAAGATACACCCACATTTGTTCCACAACATGTTATATAGCACCATCTCATCGTATAAAAGAGTCCAAATTACAGTCGGGAAATGTTGTTGAGTTGAACGTAAACACGTAATTATAACACCTGCTGGTGTCTATGTGGTGAATAATTTATCAAGTAATTAGCAGTATATTATATATCGTTATCCACAAATACATAAGTACTGCAACCTGTACTATTTGACAAGACCTTACCTAGTTAACAAACTGAATCTACTAATACCTATACCTATCACTAATACTGCGTTGCAGTATACATTTGTTATAGTAAGTAGATACCTTCATACAGTCAGGTTTCTAGCAGAGAAACATTGTTACTGTTGCCGAAAATGTTTTGCAAAGTTCCTAATATAAAGGCTTCTTCTTCAGTACATCCTACTTGTCGCCGGTTTCCATTGTAAGCGATAAAGTTCTGAAAGCTTTGCTTAATAAAGTACTTGTATTCTCCTTTTCACTATATACTGATGGCAATTTTAGTTGCTTCAAGAAACAAGACGTTTACGTACATTGCCCAAAAGTTTCTTCTCATTGCAATAAGGTGAAGTATTAGACAATAAAAAATTTCTCAAAGTTTCTCCATTGCAAATCAAGCTTCAGGCCATTATCAAATCTATGAAACTCACCGTCAGTTTTTGATGTTACTCAATCGCAAAACTCATCTAATGGTTCCAATATAATGCAGTTCAAGAATTCCGTATTGAATAATTAATAATTTCATATATCATATATTCTAATGAAGATAACCATCTTTATACCCTTATAGAAGTATACCTATATATGTATATCCTAGCAAAATCCATACTTGTTCAGAAATGATAGAAACGTTTTGATGAAAGCCGTAGGGAATCGCGATACCACTCGAGTGTAGAAGTTCTCAAAGGACTAATACGTCTACAGAAAAGTGATTTGTAAACACCCTCTAGAGATCGGTGACTATTTACAGAGTAGCAGCAGATTCATCATAGTGATGTTTTCTTTCATATGTTTTTGAAGTTTCACTTGGGACAATAAAGCTGAAGGGGATTACGTTTGGTATTGACAATAAGAAAACGTTTTTAAAATTATTAAAGTCTAAGAATATTGACATGTATATATGTATATCAAGAAGATGGATAAGAGATCTTAGATAATATCTTTCGTTTTACGAAAATTTAAATGTTTTAGGTTACAGTTTAGCATCTGTGTGATATGTATAATGGACAAAGCAGTAACCTCATCAAATCAAAGATTGAAGAGCATATCTACTGTGTAAATAATGGAGAAAATTAAAATTTTAGAATTGGAATGCTTTGCAAGTAATACAATCATTGTTAATGAACAAAAACTATGTTACCAATTGTTGTTATTTACTTACTCGTATTTATCAAAGAGCTTTGATGTCAATTTTAAACCGTTTCAAGCAGCATCTTCCTGTCATAGATCCTTGCTCCAACCATTTTATTTTCACCAGTGTGTGTTATTGTAAATAATAAGGTGTATATACTTAACTAATCGTAATGATAAATATAAATATTTAAGTACGCGAACGGCGCGGTTGAGAAAGATGAGATGAAAGCCATTGCATTCTTTGACCTAAACCATAAAAACTGACCGTTCTCACGCCATCTGTTACAGCAATCAGCAAAATAAAAAGGTACGGACGCTATTATCCTTTATAAGTGTATGTATGGGTTCATATATTACGTGAATATGCGCTGCTGCCGCCATTTTAAGGCGCCAATAAAAAACGGCAGTAAACGCTATTTACAATTAAAGAAGTCGTTGTTCATCATACGAGGATCAATACAGAAATTAATAACATATTTCACACCCAAAAAAAGCGGGACATTGAAATTTTGTTAACTGCAAACTTTTAGTAGGAATCTAAACTAGGAACCTAATACTGTCAAAAAGATATGTAGGTCATACGATTCCCTCAATGAATAAGTTATAGATATATATTATACCTAAAATTAGCAACGAGGAACTGATGTTTGTGTAGATCGCAGTTACATGTACCTCATCATTATCATAAGGTCGTTAGTACCAAAGCTGGTTGGGAACGCACCTCCACTCCTTCCTCCTATCTCGCCTATTTCTCATTCACTTCCAGAGTCCTCTGTGTTCTCCTATTCTTTCTAATACCTCTTCATTTATAACCTTCTCTATCCATAGTATCCTCATCATTCGCCTGTAACACCACATTTCGAACGCTTCTAACCTTTTCTTTTCCGCAGCGCCCACTGTCCCACTCGAAACATATACCTGTAACAATCTTTTTCGAATTTCTAAATTAACTCCTTCCTCTTGACTTATTTGACTTCCCAAGTACCGAACGTCAGTCACTTCCTCAATCTGTTCTTCATGCGGCTTCTTTCTAATCGCAGGTTTTCCCTAGAGTCTTCATAACGCCGATATGTCCTTCGGCATTGATTGGTGCCATCATTAAGACATCTGAAACTCTGTTCTTTGGGAGTATCACTTGAAGCTTGTTTTCGGTTCCATCCGGACTCTCCAGCATTATTTTCAAATGCCATAATCCAAGGTGAGGGAATTCCACAGGGTTCAATAAGTTTTCCTTGTCTGTCTTAAGTGGCTCACATCTGGCCATCATGGTCTTGAGATTCCGGATTCTTTCCATTTCATTATTGAGCCAATATCTCCATCCCTCTTCTGGTCTTCGAATAATTCATTGCTGTCCAGGGATTCCTCAGGCAGGTGAAAGATGTTGTTTGCGTGGACAATGCTCGATATCGAAATCGTATTGCTGTAATTGTAGATAACCATCGTGCACCTTGTCGTTCTCGGATTCTTGAAATGCAATAACCCCTTCAGCGAGACCTGCTCAGTTTTAAAGAGGAAGCTCCGTTTACATAGGTACTTATGGGAACGTTCGAGGTTTTCAGCTACAGCCAATAGCTCTCAAAGAGTAAGACAATAGAAGCAGAATTTCCGGATTCTAACTGCGTCTTCTTGATGAAATCCCCAAGACGGATCGGGGTGGCGTCAAAAGTAAACAGCTCAGCACCAACATTAAAGATTCTACATCGGCAACGTGAAGTTCTTGAAGATAGGAGGAGAACCATCGAACGTTTTGACGTCACCATGATCCATCATGGGGCCTTCATTGAGAAGACCAGATAAGGATCCAAAAATCCAGTGAAGTGCTAAATCGACTTTCGAGAAGCTTTTACTAAAGTATACCCGATGACCTCTTTACTCCTTCTTGTACTTGGGGTAACACATCACCAAGTCCCACTTTACTAGCGTCGGTATCAATGATGAAGGGCTCACTGAGCAGAGCGGATTTATCAAGATTGGAGTTCCACAGAGTGTAATCTCACAATATTCCCTTTAGACTAAAATCCCCACAAATTCTTTAAACAATTAAAAAAACTTGTGGCATTTGGACATTCCTTTAGATCCTCCCACACGCTACCTCTTATCAATTCAGCTCATTTCTCATTACTATCAAAATAGAATTAGTCAGTGTTCCGTGGATGTTTATGATTAGATATTTTGTTATCTTCGGTTTTAAGTATCACGCCTCGTATTTATGAAACTGAGTGCGGCAATATGTTGTTTAACGTAATGCTGCTTCCGCGTATCGAAGTTAATAATAATGTACTAGGGACCGCGATCCGTTCGGCTTTAATCATGATGTACGCGAGAAAGTCGGACACGAAAATGTCAAACGACCCCAAAGAAAAATCGTTCCATTCATAAACTGTAAAGATGATATCAACGCTAAAGATCTGCTGCACTATAATTTAGGAATACTGGTGCTATATACTGGAAAATACATTCACTCCATCTCCTCATTCCTTATAGTAGTTAGCATGATGTTTCCAACGTTTATAGTAATGTCAGTTTCCATAATTTTCATGTATCTGCTTATCAAAATCGATTTTGAGTCTGATGTAGATAACGTCTTCTGTATCATATCCAATATTCCATTCAGAAGTAGGAATCTATTTTATAAAAAATTGTAGTTTATAGTTCTCGCTCTAATTGTAAGTAGATTATCATATTAGAGTTCCATAAATGTAACATCAAGTGTGAATCATCACCTTGACTATGTCGCTTTGCGCTCAAATTCAAATCCGTATTGCCCATTGAATCTAACCTCTACCTGCATAAGCCGGTAAGTCACCGTCACAAGATATCAAAAATTTTAATTATCTGGATTTCGTCGAGTCATTGAGTTTTTAAAACAAAAAGCGTTATTGTCCTAGACCAGACTATCGCTTAGGGTGGTCCAAATGAATGAAACACAAACAGCCCAGGCACCTATGGGTGCCACAGGATACGGTTCTTTTACCATCGCTCCTCCCATAATGGAACCCACCAATCAACAATGACCACCATAAATGTAATAAAGAAGCCGCCGTGGTACGAGGAGGGGCCTCACGACACCTCCGAGGTGTTGGAAACAAGAGTAATCAAGCAGACCAGTGTTCATCAACATCTCAAGAAGTACGCCAAGTGTTAAAAGTGCCGGAACGTCCTTTGTCCGTACGCTACCTCCTCACTCTGACAATAATTAACTGCAACCCCATATTCCTATCGTTCTCCAGAAGGGTCTGTTGCACTGTTGGTGTTTTGTGAAGTTTTGACTTAATTCGCGTAGAAACCTAAGCATCTACTATCTATCTGATTAATAAAGTGACTCACTGACTTTGTGATTTTGCGCGATAGTATTTTCATCGGGAAAATTTTGAGGAAAAACTGTGTGCTTGGTTACTTAATGGCAGTTTCTACTCTTAATATGGCTCCCTACTTCACTGGCTATCCATTTCAAGGTAAGATTTTGAATCCTTCTTTCTTCAACCATAAATCATAGATGATCTTCAATCTCCGATCGAGTTTTACGACTCTGGGTAAAAAACCACAAGATCATACTATGCACATCATTCCAAAAGTACTTATTTTTACCATTTTCAATCCACAAATGCTGTTAGACTTTAATTGATAGGGTGCATTTTGAATTTTTGGCAATTGAGTAATTTTGGATTTATCTTTTGATTGTCGCTAGTGGCTTTATGAATTCTCGACATAACAGAAATATCGGCTTGCTTATTAAGTATCTACTACAGAAGAAACATAACACACTGGAATATTCATCTTTCAACATGAATATAGAACCCCAACCCTAGTTATCAATTACGTGAAGGAATAGCACCCATGCGACGCGTAAATAAAATCTGATAAGTCGTTGCAGTGAATTTTTTCAAGGAGTGACTCTGTGATATAATTTGGTCTCAAGTGGTTTACTCCATGAGACAAAGATAAATCATTTTATGCGTAGCTGATACTACGTATGAATCTAATATAAATAATTTGTTAGAAATAAAAATCCAAAATGAATAGAACATGATGCATATCATCTATCATGAAATTTGATTTTTTTATTCCTTCTCCAGACTCTACATTTACCATATAGATCACCATATTAGCTTTAAAAATTATAATAATAATAATGTTAAGTTAAAAGGGAATAGGTATTTGCAGTATTTGTATAATTTTTTAANAAATTTAATTTACTTACTACTTGGCACCAAATAAACAAATATTGAAACTACCGTCTGTCCCCGTCGGGTTCCTTTATACGTATGTGGTGCTTGGTTCATTCATCCAAATCATTATTTAGTTTTGTATCTTCTAAAGTAGAAAAAGGTAACACTTATATTTTGGAAGAATGCACTTAGGTTTTAAAATTGTTATTTGTGAGAGTTAAATTTAAATGGATTTAGTGAGCGAAATTCATCTCTTTTCAGTGATGGATGTAGGAACGTGGTTCTTCTTTTTCACCTCGGACGTTGAATATAATATTGTTGTCAAGTAGACTTTGTGTCAAAGCTTGTGATAAACATCGACTTAAGTTTGTTGGCGGTGATTCAAAGCAACCAGTCTGTGATATTAATACCTTTAATGCATGTAAAACTTGAGGTAAATCAGCATTATTACCTTATCTTCACATCTGGACATCGACAGCATAAAATTAAGCGCTTTAAAATGACGTTCAGACTACTTTTTTTTGTTAATAAGACCATCTAGATATATATATCTACCTATAGCCGTCGTTTTATTAATAAAAACGGGATATTCAATAAGATGCATTAATTAAAATTAAAATTGGCTCAGCCGTCCTTTCATACACTTCTCAAAAGGAAAAGAAGACGGAGAAGCTAACTTTATTAAAATCCGCTGTACAGATCCAAACTATGCATGGGTTAATGCCTGTCCATACTTATTTTGTCCACAATTCATCACTTTTGTCCCAAAAATCTGGGGGTCACATTATATACAAATTTAATCTAAGAGAATAAATAGGACACTTCGAAAAAATTCCACCAAATTCTCCAATTTTGGAAGATCGTGTATAGATCATCCCCAGGAAGATAAAATCCTGAAGACCTATTTGAACTGGGTCTTGTTGGGATCAATTCAAATAGAGAGTGGATTGAAATACTCAATTAATCTTTGCCAATAAATTTGATGTAATCAGTAATCTAATAATCTAGTATTGGCATGCCTCAAAATTGGCAAAAGACGATTAAGAAGATTCTGGTGGGCAAAGGTCCAAATTGACGATGAAGGGAATTACTCTTCTAACCAGATATAGCACTTCCATGTTATTGGAGTATGGGTATAAGATATTGCATACCTAATAACAGAGTCCAAAACTGAAGATATACCGTCGCATAATGAGAACGTTCTTGTTCATAACTCTTATTATATTTTTCCATGTTGATTAAGCACATTATTCAATTAAATATGCAGAGAGACGTCAAGGAATTGAAGAGGAATCGTTATTTGGTCGTTTGTTTGCAAAAGGCGATTATAATTATCTTTCGGTAGACCCAAGTTTAGATTTGTATACATCTAGACTTTGATGGTGCATCCATATACATACATGCGTGCATATATGAACCACACGTGTATTATGCATATATGTAAAACAGTCACGCCTCATCTGGTCAAATGAGACCGGACGCGGTTTGCCGCTCCCGAAAAATATCGGCCCGTATCAGGTGTATGATCTGACCGATGAAAACAGGCATTAGAGATCAAAGCGGCCGCTGGCCGGGGCCGACTTTTCATTTTCGTTAAACGTCCACACGCCCACATTCACATCACACTGGGCAACAGCACACCGTAGACACTTCGGTTACGAACGTTCTCTCTGTGTATGGATCAGGTAGACCCATGTCTTTCAAATAATAAAAACCCGAGCGACATTCGAGTGACCAATTTTTTAACATGCCTACCCACAGATAATTTCAAACTGTATTAAACTTTTGGAATTGTAGCCAAAACGAATCTTGTATTCACAAAGACTGTCCGCCTCAAAAGGAATGTCACTTAGACATCATGGGACGATTTTTGGTAAAGAAAGTGAATTTTAATAGAGATTCTGTAACTAGCTACCTAAAAGGACAAGTAGTACAGGAAAATCCAATCGAAGTTTGTCAGCTAGATATTATGGGACGATCTTTGGTAAAGAAGATCAAGATGACGAAGAAAATTAATGAGATCAATTGAAATGTTTAAAAGCAACGCTAAATGATGGAAAGACAAGGTATTCACAACCACAGTAAGTTTTCTGCCAATAGAAAATGTTAGGCAGCAAAATTGTACCATTGCCAAATGGATAACGCCTTAAATGACAATGAAATCTTCAAGGAAACTAAGCCAAAAGTCAAATATTTGAGTAAGAAAGTGAATTTTAATAGAGACTTTGTAACTGTCTACCTAAAAAGACAATCATCAGTACAGGAAAATCCAATCGAAGGTTGTCACCTAGATATTATGGGACGATTTTTGGTAAAGAAGATCAAAATGACGAAGAAAATTAGTGAGATCTACTCATATATTTAAAAGCAACGCTAAATGATGAAAAGACATGGTACTCACAACTGCAATAAGTTATATGCCAATAGAAAATGTTAGAATAGCAAAATTGTACCATTACCAAATGGATAACGCCTTAAATGAGAATGAAATCTTCGAGGAAACTAATAAGCCAAAAGTCAAATATTTCAGTAATAAAGTGACTTTAATGGAGACTCTGTAACTATCTATCTAAAAAGACAATTAGTACAGGAAAATCCAATCGAAGGTTGTCACCTAGATATTATGGGACGATTTTTGGTAAAGAAGATCAAAATGACGAAGAAAATTAATGGAATACCTCCTAAATATTTAGAAGTAGCGTTAAGTGATAAAGACAACTGGTACATACCCATAACCACATCAAGATATCTACCACCAGACATTATACCATCAATTGGATAGCTTCTTAAATGGCAATGAAATGTCTAAAGTCAAAAGTCAAGTCTTTTTGTAAGAAAGTGAATTTTAACAGAGGCTTTGGAATGATCTTCCAGGAAAGATAATTAGTACGGTAAGATCCCATAGGTACAATATTGCCAATTTAGCGAAATTGTAGCATTATTTGAATAATAATTTTTTTATAATGAGTCAAAGGTTATGTCTTTCTGTATGGTTCTGAATTCTACTGGATGCTCAGTAATGATCTTACTATAATAGCACAATCAAAAAGCATAAAATCTGTGACATGGAAAAATCTTGGAAGAAATGTAATACTGTTCCTTCTGGATTAAACGGAAAAAATAACTTTAAAGCTTTCCATGCATCACTTGATCTTCTGTGCTTGATATTATACGAGGGTGGATTGATAAGTTTCCGGCCTGACCAAGAAAAACAAGGTTTTTAAAAATTTTTTTTTTTTATTTCTCAACATAATCTCCTCCAAGGCTGATACATTTCTCATAGCGGTGTTCCAGTCTATTAATGCCATCTCTATAGACTGATTCGTCAAGCTCCTCAAAATAACCATTTACAGCTTCGATTACTTCTTCATTGTCCGCAAATCTCTTACCGCCAAGCCATTTTTTGAGATTAGGGAACAGAAAATAGTCACTCGGGGCTAGGTCTGGAGAGTAAGGAGGGTGCGGCATCAATTCAAACTTTAGATCGTTGATTTTAGCCGTCGCAACGATTGACGTGTGCGCTGGTGCGTTATCGTGATGAAACAAGATTTTTTTCTTCGCCAGATGAGGTCGTTTAATTTTCACCTCGTGGCTCAAACGTTGCAATAAGTCTGCGTAGTATTGACCAGTGATAGTATTACCCTTTGCAAGGTAATCAATGTATATAATACCTCTTGCATCCCAAAAAACAGTAGCCATAACCTTGTTCGCCGAAAAAATTGTTTTTGCCTTCTTTGGAGTTGGTTCCCCTGGTCCAATCCACTGTTTAGACTGTTCTTTGGTTTCAGGAGTGTAGTGGTGGACCCACGTTTCGTCAACGGTTACGAATCGACGCAAAAATTCGCTTGGATTACGCTTATACAATGACAAATTTGCGGTAGAAATGTTTTTTCGAATCAATTTTTGGTCGACTGTTAGCAAACGCGGCACCCATCTTGCACAGAGCTTTTCCATATGCAAATGTTGGTGCAAAATATGTTGCACACGTTCATATGACATCTTACAGGTCTCAGCTATCTCACGCACTTTCAATCTGCGGTCTCCCAGCACTATTTGATGAATTTTTTCGATCATATCTGGAGTTGTGACCTCAACGGGGCGTCCTGAGCGAGGCCCATCAGAGGTGCTCACACGACCCTTTTTAAACTCGGAAACCCACTGCTTAACGGTTGAATATGACGGGGAGGATGTCCCCAGTGTTGAGTCCATCTCTTTTTTAATTTCCTTCGGCGTTAACCCCTTCAAATAAAAGTATTTGATGACAGCACGATTTTCCTGCTTTTCCATTTTTACGAAAACCACAGAGGCGTCTTGTTCAGCGTGCTGTCAAACCTACACTAGCAAGGAGATCGGGCTGAAACTATAGCTACAAGCTATCCAAGGATGGTACTATAGAATGTCACCTCAAGGTAGGCCTAGTGGCGTCATCTCTTGGTTAGGCCGGAAACTTATCGATCCACCCTCGTATTATATGTTACAACCGTATGGAAATTCTTCGAAATTCTGCTCGAATAAATGCGAAATCATTCTAATCTCGCATGGACAGTAGGTAACTAAGAATTGCTCAATGGTGTGTCAACAATCGACAAAGACCACCCCACTATGTTTACAAAATGAGATTATAAACGAATTGCTTCGAGGATTGTGCTTAGTTGGTCGGAAAATCTTGTTGGTCACTTTGACTAACATCTTTCTATAACGCTATTGAATTAAATTGTTCGCTCTCTTTGTCGACCGCTGTTTGAAGATATAAAAGAGCCCATAGAAGAACGTTCTTGTGGAATGAAACTGTTCTAATAAAGTATCTATTCATTATTGTGAAGAAGGCTGGCAGAGTGTGCAACAGGATTTCAGACAACTGAATCACAATAATAATTGTGCTTTTTGTGTGCGATTGGATGTTGGTTTAAAATCGTATTTATTAATGGACTTTTCTATTACAAATTGTTGAAGACAAATATATATTCAAAGGATCGATAAAAATGCGGGATTTGTTTTAGGTACAAAATTTAGTCTGTGGCTTGTACTTCAATTGAATATTAAGAATCGTAAGAACAAATGTCAGTACCATATGTCAATATAAAATGAAAACCTCACTTAGTCTACCTTCATGGTGTTCTCATCGTGATCATAAGGTCGTCAGTCCTAAGACTGGTTGGACACACACTTCCACTCTTTCCTATTCTCTATATCTATCCCTAAAGTTGTTCTGTCTTTAATTCCTTTTACGGTCTTATGGTCTTACCTAATTTTTAATGCAGAAAAGAATTGATAGCTAAAATCTTTTCAAAACCAGCTCGAGGAATTCCTTAACTGATGATGAACAGTATGAGTAAATTGATAGCCATTTGCTGAATTAACAAAATTGAACTTTCTTTTAAGTAGCAAAAGTAAGTGAAGTATTTTGTTCATCACCATTGATCTCATTTTTGTCTGGTTTTTGTAAACTAAACTTAAACCCAAGCCTTTTTGGGACTCTGATATAATAGTTTTACTATAGGTGTTACTTTTCATCGTAAGAAAGATCAACCCTCCAAGACACCAAGACAGGCTACGTTTATGAGTATATAATACTCATCGGATTCTTAATATCAAGAATAATAGATAGATCGGTCCTTAGGGAATCGAAATCGGAAATTTTATCGAGAAATCTGAAAATTGCTTCAATCGTTTCGTTTTCACTTCCAAATGAAAAACCTGACTTTCCCCTTTCGGCGGGTTCTGTCTACGGCTTCATCTTGCGTAGAAGACATCGAAATCAACAACAAAAATTGTAATGAAGCATTGCTAAGGTATAGCTGGGAGAACATTTAGGCTTTTTAGATACAAATGCCCCCATTTCAAACCCTTTATTTCTCAATTATTTTACATACGTCAAAACAGGATCTCTTTTCTACGCCAGCATGAAGTATAGAGTAGGCGACGCACTTTTTTGTTATGTGGTTTCCGTTCTGGAGGCCTAACCTACAGAAACATGGATCAAATTTAACTTTCTTCGTTGAAAGCTGGTTGGGGGCTTCTTGACTAACAATTTCCGAACTGCTGGATGTGTTCCATTAGTTTCTTTTCTTCGCTAATGGAGGCACCTAACTGTGCAACAATTTCCTTGTCAGTTTGTCTTTGACAATTATGTAAGATTATCCGCGGCAATAACAATTAATATCTGAGCATTGAAGAAACACGGTCTGTTGCTTCTCCTAATTTCACCCCAAGATGCAGCTTCACAAGCATTTCTTGAAATCATACCCTGTAAATGTACACAAAAGGGTGCAAAACGGCATACTCCTTCACCGCGAGGCATGACCTAGAGGTTTAAATCGTTGCTTAGCATTCGGAAGGACGCCGGTTCGATTCCGGGTCCGTCTGTGTTGGTCCAAGTTTTTCTGTGGTTTCCTTGGATCGTGTAGACAAATGCTGGGGCAGTAATATTCCACAGATAATATTTCATTCTCTTGTGTCTTCATTTCGTTCGTCACATCGTTCCTACCCGAATCACCACCTACTCATTCCCACGATTCCTGAAAGGAGACTGGAGAGGGCCTTCCACCTTACCTTCCGGCGTAGTCTGGAGGGACTGCCCGCCCACCAGCATTAGTGGCTGGTGGGTATGAAACACCCAAAAGTTTTTTTTTCATGCTCCTTCAAGGAGGGTGGACTTCGATGCTCAATTATTTGCTAGTACCGTCTTGTACGAATATGATGACGAAGAAATTGTTAAATTGTTCATTACTGAAGAAACTAGAAACAATTCTACCAAAAGACGAATATATCCAGAACTTGATAACCAAGAAGACCCCAACCAGCCTTCAATCTCCAAACGTGGAAAAACGCAAAATAATTGAAGAAGAAGGTAATTGAAATGGGGCCAAATCCCAAAATTCTTCCTACCATAACTCATCAAGAGTTCATTCTATAGAAGATGTGTTTAAGACATTTATTGTGAATATTATTGATAATAACTATTTTAGACTACCTATAGATAGTGGTTAAGGAGATATTTTCAGAAAGGTAGTTTATAGCGTCTTTGGCGCCGATTGCATCTTGACTCCCTGACGACGGGCCTAAAACGAAAGAGAATTGAAATTTTGGACTACTGACGATTCTTCTATGTTTTAAATACATCATTCGTTTTAATTGTTTCAGGACAAGGACGTGTCAATCAGCTCGGTGGCGTTTTTATAAACGGTCGTCCGCTGCCGAATCACATCCGTCTGAAAATAGTGGAAATGGCGGCAGCAGGAGTCCGTCCCTGCGTGATATCCCGTCAGCTGCGAGTGTCGCACGGGTGCGTGTCGAAAATCCTGAATCGGTATCAGGAAACGGGTAGCATACGTCCCGGCGTTATTGGAGGATCGAAGCCCCGCGTTGCGACAGCAGAAGTCGAAACAAGAATAGAACAATTGAAACGCGAAAATCCCGGAATATTCTCATGGGAAATACGGGACAAACTAATCAAGGTATGTAATATCTAATTAACTAATTAACAATTTCCGTGTGATAGCATCGTTTATTTTTTTCATAGCCACCTCTACACCATACTACTAACAAGTAATTAATTGTGGTTGTGTTGAAGAAGGTCAACACAGAACGCAGTTTTGTGGAGTTGTAAATGGGCAGTATTTTTATTGCCTGCTGTATTTAAATGAATCTGCATTTACGATATAGTTTTTTAAATGGTAATTGTTCGTTTCCTATGCATTTCAATTCGTCTTTGTTTTTCCTTTCTATTTTTTATAATAGTGCAACACCATTGAAAAAAATAAAGGCAGAATAAACCGTGAAGGTTAGCTATGAACTGTACGTTTTTTGGGATTATGTATATCTGCAGCAAAGCGAATGCAACTATCTAAGAAATTTCCCTGAGAAGTTTTTGTCGAAATGTTGGACAAACTACTGAGCTTTTTGTTCTATTTGATTCGATATCAGCTATCAGATAGATAGTAGTAAATTCCTGCAGATGGCGTTCCTTATGCTGTCAGTATATGTTCATTGAACACTGGTAGGTTAAGCGACCGAGCAGCATTGCCTAGAGGTTTAAATCATTGCTTAGCAATCGGGAGGACGCCGGTTCGATTCCGGGTCCGTTTGCCTTGGTCAAAGTTTTTCTGTGATTTCCTTGGATCACTTAGGCAAATTCCGGGGCAGTAATATTCCAAAGATAATCTTTCATTCTCTTCTGTCTTCATTTCGTCCGTCTCATCTTTCTCACCCGAACCACCACCCACCCATTCCCACGATTCCTGAAAGAAGGCTGAAGGGGCCTTCCGCCCTACCTTCCGAGGGATTGCCCGCCCACCAGCATTAGTGACTGGTGGGAATGAAACACCCAAAAGTTTTTTCTTGTGTAGGTTAAGCAATGTTCTGTGTTGGAGCGTGCTTATGTGAATTAAGGAGTTTGAAATCGAAAAATCGTTTCGTTGTAACTTCATTTCTCAGAATCGATTTCATTTCCGGGTAGTTTTTGGTTTTGGTTTAAATAATTTTGTGTGGTTATACTGTATACCTCTACCTTTCACTCTACGACGTACTTTAGCTAAATAATTAACCACCTGGTTAAGAGTGTTATGAACAAGAGGAAGAAAAATAGAAAGTTAAGAACCGCAGACAATCGTCCATTTGAAATGCCTAGTTTGTAATTATCAATTAAATACTGTTTTAATTAAAGACAAATGCTTGAGCCTATAATAGGTACATTTGTCGTAACGAAAAAGAGGGATAAACTGTGGCTGTTGTTTCAGGAAGGAATCTGTGACAAAAACAACGCCCCTTCTGTCAGCTCCATAAGCCGGTTGCTAAGAGGTGGGAAAAAAGACGATTCTGACAAGAAAAACCACTCTATCGATGGAATTCTAGGTAAGCTATCACTTCCTTTACCCACCATAATTCATAAAGTTCGATATGACATAGTAATTAAAAATAAAACAACCGCAGTACAGTTTCCTTGTATTTGTCGTAACACGTCCTTGTTTCACTTAATCTACGGGCCGCTAGATGGAGTATCTTTTAGTTACTTTGTGTGGGTAGTACGTAACACTTTCGGTGGTGTTAAATTTAATTAAAATTGATTATCATTTCAATTAAATCGGTTTTCTTACATATACGACAGAATTATTGATTTGCAGAGGCCGAAACAGATTAAATAATTAAAAGAACTCAACATTAAGTAATGCAATTGTTGATTTAGTAATAATAATAATAATGTTATCTGACACATTTTTATGGGGTCGAAATTAAAGTGGTAAAAATCGGGTTTGGTGGCAAGTAATAAGTTAAGCGTATGAGGTCAACGTTTATTTAAAATTGCAATTGCCGAAACAATAACAATTAACAACAGATATGCGCACACATAATTACTTAGTAAGATAAGTATAATTGGTAGAGTGTTAATGTACTTATAAAAGCGTATGGTCCAATTATTCGTAGGCGACAACTTGAGTTTTAATCAGTGAAAGCGTTTTTCTTGTTCCAATTTTATATCGCGTATCATAAAACGTATGCATATGCAACTGCTTGATTTCACTTCATTTCTATTTTGTTTCCTGTTAACTTCGTAAGATAATATTCTTCAAATTCTTTACGTTTTTGATACATCGCTACAGGGTAACAGCGAAACATGGACAGTGGGAGCGGCGGAAAAGAAGAGGTTAGAAGCGTTCGAAATGTGGTGTTATAGGCGGATGATGAGGATATCATGGGTAGAAAAGGTTAGAAATGAAGAGGTATTGGAAAGGATAGGAGAACAGAGGACTCTATGGAAGTCGATAAGAAATAGGCGAGATAGGTTGGTAGGACACTTTCTCAGGTATGAAGGTCTAGTCAGAGACATATTAGAGGCAGAAACAGGAGTTAGGAGGGGTAGAGGTAGACCTAGATTAGATTACTGTTTGCAAATAGTTAAGGATGTGAGTTGTTCTAGTTTTGGGGAAATGCGAAGTTTAGCTCAGGATAGGAAAGAGTGGAGGTACATGTCCAACCAGTCTTAGGACGACCTTATGATGATGATGATGACCTTTTTTTTATAATTATTATTTAGAATAAATCATTTATTCATAGTTATTTGTTTGACATATGGGAATTATATTTATTCCAAACTGAACTTCAAATTTGTGATGGATGCAATTCTAGAATATTTTAAAGTTGCCCTATTTGTTGGTAAACCGTTAACTTATAATTTGGTCCTAATCACGACCGGNCTGTTCGCAAATAGTTAAGGATGTGGGTTGTTCTAGTTTAGCTCAGGATAGGAAAGAGTGGAGGTACGTGTCCAACCAGTCTTAGGACTGATGACCTTATGATGATGACAGGGTAACTAACTTTTATCATGTCGATTGTAATGCGATGCTTAAACACGTAGGTTAATGGCGTTGTAATAGTTTGTATGAATGAATTAATTGTTATATACGTATTATCATTTTTATTTAGTGAATACGGCGTCCTAATCAAAGACAGCAATCCCCACCAGAAACGATTTTGCTAGCACGTTTATTTCCCTCCCTTATTGTAAACACCTAGACTCCCAATCCATTTGCCAGTCCCTCCACAAAATCTCTCTCAGTTTCACCAGACATCTTGACTCCTCCATTTTTTTGAGATCATCTCCCTTTACCATTTCCCAGCATCTTCTTCTTCTTCCTTCACCTGCTCCTGATTGATTTTTGATCTCCTCAAATCCCTTTCTAACATATATACTTTTCGTTTCTACTTCCAGTACCATCTTCCTGCATATTTCCTTGCTGAAGAAGGGGATCTAGCCTCCTCAATAATCTCTTCTTAAATTTTACTATCCTTTTTATCGATTTTTCCTACATAGTACCACATTTGGCCTCCCTCTTTTTACATAATCTGGCGTACTTCTCTCTAATTGAAATACCCACTTGATACATCTTTTATATAAATCCTCAGTCTGCTTTTTTTCCTTCCATCCTCATATTACCACCCCATAAAATATTATACTCCTCACCAGCACACTGTCTCCTACCCCAATCATCTTTACATAATTTCTAATGTGAAAGTTTTTTCGTTGAATTACTTACAATAATATAAATTTAGCAATTTGATCGACATTATGCAACTGATTCGTCTTTTGAGAAAACCTAAACGTATTAGTAAATTCCTTGTTGAACTGATGATGTCAGACAAAACACCGGCAACGGTACAGGAAGTGCAATGATTTTCTTTTTTTTTATTGCCTTACGCAAGAATTTGGTTGTCGTAGAATTTAAAGGAATAGAAACAATTGCCCAACCTTATTTCGATACGGTTAACTGAAGGAAATCGATCAAATAGTTGTCTATTTCCGCAAGGTATCCAAATCACACCAAGCCTATGATAATTGATTTTTTCTAATACATAATAATTAATATATTTGCATTCAATAAACAAACACATTTTTATATACATATTTCTAAAACGTAAGCGTGATTGAACTATATACAAAGAACATATTGTTGATCATTTATATCTGGAACATGTTCAAGAAAAGCATTTCTGATTCCCTCTTCGAAAAAAATAATTTAGATCCTTTCGTACTTAACAGTTTACGTAACACGTTTAGACAATTGTTGACGCGCCATCTACTGATTTACGCCCATATCAAAATCATTATTTAACGGTATTTAATTATCTCTCGTCTTTAAATATGTTTACAAAGAGATATGTATATCAAACTAAAATCGGTAAGAAGTCATGACGTAATTATAATTCCTAAATTTTAACATTATATTCAATGTTGTTACATTTTATCGGCGCACCTCTTCAAATATGTACTAAAAATTAACATTTGCCCTATAATTTGCGCATTTCCGCGTTTAACAGAGATCATTTCTGAATTTGTGAGCGTTTAATTTCACCGTTAGCGAGTTTGGGGTCTATGCTATTAACTGCACATGTGTAATTTGATTCAGAACGAGTTAATCCAGAATTTAGCCCCTTCGTAAATTGCTAGTGTGTGGCTACCGCACGGATACAATTTAATGATGACAGGACTTAATAGAGGAACAAAAAGCCCAAAGTCGAGCGAGAACGTCGGTGACTGACGATTAAAAATCAATCAGTACCTACTCGATTCTGATAGCGTTCAATAATCTTAACGTATGGAAGTTATGATCGTCCATCATTACAGGTCGCTGTTTTGAATGAATATTAGAGAAGATAGATAGAGAAAGAGAAAGTGAGGGAAAGAGACAAATTGTATTTTTCAATGTGTTGCGTCATTTTACTCTGCGGCTTCATCGACTTGTGAGGTCCTAGGTGGCGACGGATTGCGGCGTGGGCAAAGATATTTTGATGCCGATTTTTACACCACACGATCCGCTTTTTAAAAACTTCGTTTGTCTTCGACCGATCAAACGATATTGTAAATATACCGTATTGTGTGTCGTTATTGTTTAATTTATTGACACACCTCCTTGACCAATCGCATTGCGCCTGCCTACTACTGCCCGCAATGGTTACACTGGCTGATAAGCATGATTTAAAATTATTTACATTCGACGATATTGACGCTTTTTAATTTTCAACGTAATAAATACAACAAACGTGTTATAACGCAGAACATGAAAAATTAATTTAATAACAATGAAACAGGGTGTAACAGAACATAAAAATTAAGTAAATGTTTATATCCCTTTTGAAGTAAAGCGCAGTTGAAAGTACAGGTAAATTCCGGCCCTGGTATATCAACACGACAACGCAACGTCGCATTCAATCTGTTGGGAGTTAGCCACATCATACTACAGTTTGCTTTAAATGAACAGTTGCTGCATCCTTATCATTTGCAGCGATCCCTACTTGAAACCGATTTTCAGCCGCGGGCTAGCTTTTGTCTGTGGATTCGTAACTATTAGTAAAATACGAATTCGCATACTAGATGTCGTACATGGTTCGTGATTTCAAGAATTGTTCTCGGTAAATGTATGGCGTGAACAATCACCCGCAAAAAGGTAAAGAACCTTGGCAATACCTCAATTGAAGTGTGGAAATTACATTTATCCAGATGATACTCATTTACCGTCTAATGTTTAGGTAATTTACATTTTTTCTTTCTTTTGCGTTTGTACACTACCTAGACGTTCGATAATGTGCAATGTTTACTATGCTTTTCGGCAGACATCTATGTTGTCAATTCACGCACAGGACCGGCTTCGGATTGTAAATTGCTGTTGAACTTCTATATTATTGAATAATATCATCTTCCTGTCATCTACCAACACTACTCTGTACCACGTAGATAATTTATAATAATATAAAATAATTAATGCAGCCAGATGGTAGGATGAATAATTACTAGACAGGTGTCAATCCTCGTATCGTGATGTTTTTGTGTCAATGAAATTGTGTCGTAAATAACAAAAAGGTATCAAAAACCGTGCGATTTATTCACTAGATACAGCGGTAGCAAACGTTCGATGGTGCAGGAACCAATTAAAGATTTCTAATTTGTATTTTAGTTATTTATACAGATTTTATGATCCTGTCGCGCCATATGTGGTTGAAAACAACTAGCAGCTAATAGTTTACGACCTTAGCTGCCCGTTTTATTATTGCGGTTGCAAACTGCATGATCTTAAAATCATTTAATTTTTTTTCCATAACCAATTGCATTCGAAGCATTTTGAATATATCATTATCGCAAAATATTATTTAAAAAGTTGTCAGATATAATATCTTAGAGGGAAGGAGATTATCTATTTTTTAAGAAAACCACTTATAGTACTTGGTGGAAGTAAAAAGAATTCAGACCATTTAACACCTGACTTACGCCCGTATATTTGATAAAATTCGGTAGTTCTTTTAAAAATATTACATGAAAAACGTGGAAAAGCAAGAACAAAAGCAGGTCTATGAAGCAAGACAGCTTCTTCGTGGATTGAATGTCTTAAATTGTATCTAACGTATTAATTCAAGAAGAAAAACAAAGAGCACACGTTTTTAGTATAAATCTGTCGAAACGTATTCCAGGATAATTTGTTTCTGAAATTAACGAAAGGTATTTTAATAGCTGAAAAATTAGCAGTGAAAATTCAGTAGTGTGAGAAAGTGTTTGGTCGACGCCTTTTTTTGTCGGCTTAGAAGTATCACGTTGCGGTTAATGAATCGGTCCTCTCAATAGCCGGTAAATTGACCGTGTCTATTTTTTATTACGACAGAATACGACTGATTTTACAGCACATTGGGAAACAATTTATTTAACCAACAACATTTTGGGTGGTATAACTATTAACGGGACGATACGGTTTATACGTCCGTTCTCAAATTGTTATTATCATTCATCAATTTATTGACCAACAACTACTACTTCACTAATCTAGAAACAAAGCTTAAAAAGGTTCAACCGAACCAAAATGTTGCTGTACAAAAAGTAAACCTAGTAATATACCCACGTTAATTAACAAGTGCCTTTTTTAAGTTTTATTTGCATTAATTTCATCTATTTACCGTAATTTGTAACTTATTTGTACTCTTAAGTACGCCATAGATAGTTTCATTACATCACCGACAAAACCGAAGTTGCTATATACAAGCGGGTTGATTAATATGATGCAACTAGCAGTATATCGCCATCTATGAATACTTACAGTTAACTGAGTATTTCTCAGTGTTGACAGTAAATACCTATAGATAGCGATACATCGCCAGTTTCTCGATATCATCCAACTTGGTTAAATGATGCAAATTGGATTTGGTCCCTGATTTACGCTAACGATGGAAACTACCTATGATACACCCATGAGAACCAATAAGTATACCTAGTAGTAGATAAAATTTAACAAGTAGACAGCCTTATCAAACACTATGAAATACTACAGTTAGCGTTAAATATCTAGAGAGCGGCCATCAAGTATATGAAAATTAATAAAAGTTGAAAATGGACAGCTGTTTTATCACAATTCTAAATCATTAAACAAGAAAATTAATATGCTTAATAATAATTTCTTCCAGATGAGATTGTCTGATTAATTTAGACAGCAAAAGGAAGGGTTGCAAACTGATGAGAGATTATGTTGAGTACCTTCCTTCAGTGTAATTATTTCCTAATTAATTTGGAAAAGAAAAACATTAGAGGTTAATCATTGTAGATCTTTAATTATTTTATTACGAATTTATCTTTCAAAGAAACAAAAGTTTTGTCCCTTATGCACAACAAGTGTTAATATTCTTTCTTTCCAATATTCTAATTACCCTTCGAGTGTAATTATATGTTAGCAGCTCGGTACATTTTCAAAGAGTTGTTGTGATGAAAAAGAAATGAAAAATTACACGGCAGAACGAGTCGATTTCGCCTTCCCTCGAATGGCAGAAAACAGCTTCCTGCGCCGCTCGCATTTATAATTACAAGTTTAATTTTCCAATTGTTATTTTATATCAGCGGCCCCTTTGTCGGCCTCTAAACCTGTTTTATTAGTCAGTATTCGCGCCTGGTTAATCTCTTGAAGAGTAAACTGCCTTTATGGCAACACCCGTCCCCTTCGAGTACATTTCGAAAATAAAACGAACGAAATATTCTACCACAAGAAAAAACCGTACAACAAAAAACAAAACATCATCTGAATATTGCGCCCAGCATCGATACGTGTCGATATGTATGTGAAACTGCTTTTGCCAATGAGACGATATCCCACAATCTTCGATTTGAATTTCTTATTCTATTTTTCGCCTTTGATTTGATCTGCTGGTACAACCCAACATCCACTTTTTCTTTCACTTGTCGAAAATAATTTCGTCTAAACCTTTCCCTTTCACTTTTTCAATCTTTCCCACTTTTGTGTCTTGTCACAAAAAATGCCCTAACATCCATCCTCTTCTGTTTTGACAGCAGGAATCTCTTGTCTTCATTCCCCTCTTCTCCTCCAACACCATATCTCAAACGTCATACACTTTTAGCCTTTCCTTGTCCGTTTGTATTAATGTTCATGCCTCATTATTGCTATATAAATTTAGTAGACTTGGGCATCTTAGTTCAGTAAAAAGAGCGCTCAACTTAGTTCATTATTCTTCCGCAAACTAGTTCACTAGTTAGTTCACTGTTAAGGCACTTTAGATTCGAAGGAGATAGAGATCCTTTAATTAATAATATTGATTTACATCACATCAAATTTTCAGAAAAAAACTTATTGCTGATCCAGGACTTCCAAACCAACTAAATACGTTTCAAAAACAATAGACTATCGGTAAAACAACCAATACTGCCGATAGTTTCCGTTGCTTTAGGTTAGGAGGTATATCATGAGTCTCTTCCGCCATCTTCATTGAGGGGCAGATAATTGAACTAACGAACTGATTCCTAGTTTGGCTACGAACTAGTTCTTGTAGTTCACACATACGATCGCTATCTCGAACTAGTTCGTTCGTGAATTACACAAGCCTAAACCCTAGACTTCAGATATAAGAATTCATCAGTTTTTTCATAGCATTTCGGGATACTTATATGAACGAAATATTCAAATTTAATCTTTTGTTTCAGGACCTAACTCTTCCTGTGAAGAGAGCGAAACTGAATCTGAACCTGGGATTCCCCTCAAACGTAAACAACGTCGTTCTAGAACAACGTTTACCGGCGAGCAATTAGAAGCGTTAGAACGAGCTTTCGGCCGAACCCAATACCCCGACGTCTACACTCGCGAAGAACTCGCACAAAAAACAAAACTAACAGAAGCTCGAGTTCAGGTTTGGTTCTCCAATCGGAGAGCGCGATTACGAAAACAACTGAATTCCCAACAGTTGAACGCATTCAACACAATGTCCTTGCAATCCGCTTTTCCGGTACAGCACCAATATCCCGATCCGGCAGCTTTTAATCAAGCCTCTTGGGCTCAACAAACCTACGCTTCTGCAGCTTTAGGTACTTCCCCCTTAGCCAGTTCCTTGTCCCATTCCGCCCTTTCTTCAAGTGCTATTGGAGGCACGACAATTGGAGCGACAACACTTGGCAGTTCGACTTCTACAACTTCCTCGCCCACCAGCTCTGCTCAATCATCCCTTTATAATTCTTACAACTCTAGTAGCATCGAACAAACGAACGCTTTGAACTCTGCCAACCAGTTTGGTTATAACATGGCCCAAATTTCTCCAAGTCAACATGGAGTAGCAGCCCAACAGTCCAGCGTTTGGTCGAGGCACGCGCAGAATGGGAAGATGCCCGAAAATCTCACAGGATGGCCGGAAAACTATAGGTAAGTTTTTAGAGATTCAAAATATTTACGTATACACAGATCAAAAAACATTAAGAAGTTGTTTTTGTTTATTGGAGGTTCTACTCCTGCTTTTCGGAGTTCCAGAATGTAAATTTATACATTTCCGAACGATATAGGATCAATATTTTTGCTTTTGTTTACTTCTTCTTTTAATTTTAATTATTCTTTTTTGCTCCGAAATAATTTGTTCTAACAGTACTCTTGTGGTCCTAAAACCGATCCTGGGATAAATCAAATATATCTACCTGAGAAGACGTTATTTATAACTTCTTTTGTATGTAATGGCATCACGTAACTTTAATTTGGAACAGATTCCAGTTGTTTTTTCTCCTCGATCCGAATCCATTGGTCCAGTGAGTCATTTACTTTTTATTGTATTATTAGCAACGTGAAGAAGACTGAAGTCGAAATGTCATTTCAAACATAAAAAGTTGATCATTTGATTTAATCTTCTTCTTTTAACATTAGGTGGTTCTGCTTCTTCAAACATAAGCCTATAGAAATAGCGTTTCTCGTAATTATTTTGTATCATTTTTTTGTTTTCGTGAGACGAATCGCCATTACTACAAGGTACTGATGGTGTTATATTTAAGCCCATGTACCATCAGAGGCTTCCTTGTGTTTTGCAATCAATTTCTATTATTTTATACCAGAATACATACGTTTCAATTATTATTAGTGGATGCGAGGGATTAAACCAGAAAGTGGTTTATTACAAGCTTGTACGCGTAATCGATGACTTCCAGATAATGGTTACAAATTACCAAATTGATATAATACTCCATGATCTACTACAACGTATGCATGTGGATATGCGAATGCTGTGGTACACCATCATCATGGAGGAGTCGATCTCGATCAGAAATGACAGTAATTAGGTATTTGCGTGACGTGTGTATGATAGGTACTACTGTACAGAGCAGTGGCGCTCCACAAATGGTTTTAGAAACCCCTTTTACAGAATTTTATGTGAATTCTGCAGATTGGTACATGTTGTTTATTCAACACCATCAATATGCCGTTAAGGGATGCACACTAATATTTTTAAAATTATTATTTACTTCAGTATATCGCAGAACAGGTTAAGTTAGGTTAGGTTTATAATTAACTTAAGTCCAAACGAGTTGGTTTTGATTTTCTTTCAAAATTCGTATAAAAATGTAAGGAACATTAGCTTCAAAACTTTCTGTTAATGTTATAAGCAATATTTAGTCGTAAAAGAGGATATTACAGAATTAAACTGAAACGAAAGGGATTTTTGTAAGAAACGGGCATAATTAATTCAATTCCACGATTGTGAAGAATTGAGAAATTTTTAACTTGAGAATCATGGATCGTCATAATTGTTTCCTTAATGTGCGGATTCTTATTGGGTACGACGGCTCTGGTATTCCTTTAGTGGCGGTTATTCGCTAAAAATAAACGTAAAGGTTGCCTGCCTGGCTGGGTACCTTTCGAAGAAGTAGTGTATGAGGCAAGACCGCTCGCGCAACTTAACCATTAAATTAATTGTACCTTTTAATAAATAATCCAAAACCATATTTAACCATGCGAACGGCCGACGATCTTTCATTAGTCTCACCGGCTCCGATTAATTGCCGTTGCCTTGCTACCGTGCTGGTTGTTATTTCAGATACTGGCCACCTATCAATTATGCATGAACGAAAGGCATCTGAATGATATTTCCTCTTAAACGGCCGCGTTCGATATTATTGCTGTGCGCATCATGATCGAAGTGGCCATTGATATCGCGCGGAGATCCGCCAGAAGTGCTTTGGTCTCCAGCCAGAGGCGTCTGCCCAGGTAACACTTCTCATACCGTCCACCTCAATTTAATCTCTTTAGTGCATAATATTCGTGTTTCTACAATAGATCTTGATATGTACCTTCTATCTTATGGCAAGAGCAACATTTTCTTTCATTTTTTAATATCGAAAACACTTAGGTACTGATGGAGTCATGTATATACAAGATTCCTGATACAATCGGTGAGCAACAGATCTGACGATCGATCGGGGTTGATGGTCAAAGATCTTTTATCGTTGGGAAGTTCAAAATTGGCATAGTCCTCAATACAACTGTCGCATTTACTTTCTTCATTCAACTTATTGAACTAGACTAGAGTGGTTGTTGGAAGAACACCTACTTTTACTCGGCGACAGACGTAGAGAATATCGTAAATATAGAAAAGAGATGTCAGATAGGAATTGCAGCGGGCACTAATATAAAAAAGGAATAATATGCATAGATGCAGACAAGTAGAATTTGAGCATGATGCCAGCATCGGACTTTAAAGAAAGTTCAACATTCTCAGGGATTTAGGAAAGCAAATACACTTGTTAAAGATATAATTCCACCGAGCGGCATGGCTTAGAGGTTTAGATCATTGGCAAGCATTCGAGAGGACGTCAGTCCGATTCCGGGTCCGTCTGCCTTGGTCCAAGTTCTTCTGTGGTTTCCTTGGTTCACTTAGGCAAATGCCAGGGCATTAATCTTTCATTCTCTTCTGTCTTCATTTACTTCGTCTCATATTCGTCACCCAAACCATCACCTACCCATTCCCACGATTCCTGAAAGGAGGCTGAAGAGGGCCTTCCGCCCTACTTTCCGTCGTAGTCCGGAGGGACTGCCCGCCCACCAGCATTAGTGGCTGGTGGGAATGAAACATCCAAAAGTTTTNTCTCTTCTGTCTTCATTTACTTCGTCTCATATTCGTCACCCAAACCATCACCTACCCATTCCCACGATTCCTGAAAGGAGGCTGAAGAGGGCCTTCCGCCCTACTTTCCGTCGTAGTCCGGAGGGACTGCCCGCCCACCAGCATTAGTGGCTGGTGGGAATGAAACATCCAAAAGTTTTTTTAACCAGGCAGTTATTGAGCCGACCGTTATCTTTTGAGTACCTAACCAACCTCTAACCGCTGCATCGCTTACTATTACTCGGTTATCTCTTTTCACTTTGTACTCCTCATGAAGCATTTCCTAACCTAACAAGGGAATGTTCAAAACGCACCATATGACTACAGTCCCAAGTGTAAACAAGAAAGAAGATACGTCTGTTCTCACAGATAATTTAATGTGGACTTCGCCAATTTTGATCATCCCAACTATAAGCCTCTTACTCCAGGTCATAAACACGTATAGGACAACCATTCGATGATTGAATAACGTCGATACAGTGAATCTAATAATAACGCTGTTGTCTGAACTGATTCTCTGGATATTCCAATATCACGTCATATTTTTCATAACTACAGTTTTTATTTTCTTACTAGTTTACTAGGAATTTGGAAAGTACCCATGAATACATACACTTACTATAACTTTCGATTACCTCACGTCCCCTTCTAGGAATATCCTCTAGGTACGTTATATGAGTGCCGAAACTATAATCACCCTATACGGTACTTTAACTCGAAGTTATCCCAGAATTTCATCAACAAAACGGCCTGTCTAGTTACCCGGCGTGACCGTGACATGTTTTGTTTTCGCCTTACGTGTGTGCATGTTACTGATTGTATTTATGTCATAACAGCTTTTGCAATAGCGAATTAAAATCGTAATGCGACTGTTATTGTATCCAGCGTCGTATTTTCAACTGTCACGTGATCGTTTCTAATTAAACTGAAACTGAAGACCCGATTGGCATTCAATATTCGGCTACCATTTCACATTAGTTGTCATCCTTTGAACTTTCTGATTTGTTTTCTCGTTTCATAATATTCACTGATCTATTATTGTATTAGCGGGTGCATGAGGATGAAGTGGAGATCATTGATTTTATGTCAGATATAGATAATTGTAGAAAACTGTAATAATAGATCACACTGGTTTATTGATGATGCTGAGCTTGAGCAGCTACTTTCTAATCTGTAGATCGAAAACGCGACAAACATCATTAAAGACAGGACATCTTTAGGGATAGATGTAGAAGGGCAAAATATTAATATGTTGAGATTTGACCAAACAGTACAGAAAAGAGTAAATACAAAAATAGGAGACGAAAAGTTAGAAGTAGATGCTGACTTTAGGTATCTAGGAAGTCAGATAATTTAGAATTGAAGGAGCAGTAAAGATATAAAACAACGGGGATAGCGTAGGGTCGAGTCGTTTTTAACAAAAAGAAGTCACTTCTATGCTCGCAAGTGGTTCATTTAGAAATTCGAAAAAGATTTTTAAAGGTGTATGTTTGGAGCACACCTCTTTAAGAGGGTCAAACGTGGACGGTGGGTTCAGCAGAAAAGAAAAGATTAGAAGCGTTCGAAGTGTGGTGTTACAGACGATGATGAGGATACCGTGGATACGGAAGGTTAAAACTGAGGAAATATTAGAAAGTGTAGGAGAACAGAGGACTCTCTGGAAGTTTGTTCACAAATAGTTAAGGATGTGGGATGTTGCAGTTTTGGGGAACCGCATAGATTAGCTTAGGATTAGAAAGAGTAGATGTTAATGATACTAATGAACTGTTAATGTTACCACCACTTGGGGCTTGGAGGATATTAATAGATTAAATGTAATCTTATCTTAATCGTCAAAAGAAGGTTGACTGGACAAGGATCTCCTTATCTTCTTCCTTAAACCATTCTTCACATTTCCAGAAAATTACGTAAATAATCTCACACTTTTATTCGCAAACACCCATACCTGCTTCTAATATGTCTTTACCCATGGCCCTTCATGTTTCAGAAAGTGTTCTACCGTCCTCTTTCTCCTGTTCTTTATTGGCTTCCATAGCTCCGTCTGTTCTCCTACGTTTTCCAATACCTGTTCATTTCTATACCTTTTTCTATCCATGTCATTTGAATCATCCATCTGTAAAACCACATCCTAAATGTTTCTATAATCTTTTCTCTGCTTCTAATCGATCTCTAACTATCCCCTTGTGTTTGAGAAGGTGTCCTTTACCACCAAATCTCGCCTATTTCTTATTGACTTGCAAAGCGCCCTCTGTTCTCCTACTCTTTCTAATACCTCCTCAATTCTAACCACGACATTTCCATCATCCAGCTGTAAAACCACATCCTAAATGCTTCTATAATCTTTTCTCTATTTCTAATCGATCTCTAACTATCCCCTCGTGTCTGAGAAGATGTCCTTTACCACCAAATCTCGCCTATTTCTTATTGAATTGCAAAGCGCCCTCTGTTCTCCTACTCTTTCTAATACCTCCTCAATTATATTCTTTTGTCACTCGCACGTCAAGCCAACTTTGCTTACTATTTATGGGAAAACACTCTGTTAAATAACGATTTCTTTTTGTTTCAGTTTATTCAGTAGCGGTCACTACAGTTCCCACTCTCCCAGTGAAGCCAAGTCGGGCTATCCCTACTTCGGTAGTATGGAAATGTGCGCCAGCCGAGTCCATTAACCATTAGACTCGATTCTTAAAGAACATAATAAATAAGTTCCTTGTTATTAATCTACTATATCTGTGTTCCTAGAAGCCTTAATTTTGTTTAAAATATCGTGCCTTCAACTATGCCTACATATAGTTATGTATGTAATTCACGCGAATTTTAAAAAAGTAGCCACATTTTATGAATTAACCGTTCCAATATAACCCGAAAAATTCAAATCTCTTTTGCACCGAAAAAGTCCCATTTTACCTTTATTGATGTCGTTCTCTTCAGGTACAAAATTAATTCTGTGAAATTCTCTAAAAAGTATAAGGACTTGCTGATAAAATTTCACTACAAAATCAGTTTCTACCAAAGTTATAATTAGAAAAAAGGAAAGAATTACTGTGAAAGCATTTAAAATTTGTAAATATAACAAAAAGCATCGTTCAAAAGTAATTAGAAGTGTGCTAATTTTTATCTTCNTGTGAATAATAAAATTTACAACATGTATTTATATCTTTAATAGTAATAAATTGCTTCAATGTATTGTTTCTTTTGTTTATTTTTATTTATGCTAAACATCTAGTGCTCAATGAATAAAATATGCAGGAAAAAGAGTAAGAATAACAGGGTAGGTATCATGGAAGATCGAACTTTATGGGTGGTTTAAAGTTTACAGATGAGTCTATCGATAGGTTAGTACAGATGCTGAATTATGTCTTTAGATATAGAATGATTGTTACTTAATTTAACAGATAAAACTTCAAATAGGATGATCGATAATTCATATCGTCCTCCAACTCAGCCACTCTATCCACACAATATCGCTAACTAAAGACTAATCATCCGGAATCTACAGATAAGGGCGGTATATTTTGTAAAACCTAAAAATATCGATCCTCCCACTATAAATCCGCTAGGCGTAAAAGTTTCTCAACTCTGGCGTATAATTAAGAAAGAAATTTAAATAAAAACCGTTAACATTTATTAGTAATTTTAGTTAAAACAGGAAAAAAGAATTGTCAGCGCCATTCGAAGCCGCCCAAGATCTACGACGTTATCCGTATCGGGAAATTTTGGTAGTTCCCGAGGACAATGGGGGACGACAGCGGTGATCGCGTCAGGGGGCATTCGCGTGTCTACCATCAAACACAAATCGTGGAACAATTGTTATAAACATTGTATATTGCTTGTTTGTTGAAAATAAAATACCAGAAATCCTATAACCAATGGTATGGAAGTCAGATATTTTATAAACTATAAATACGTTGTTGAAGGAAGCACTAATCAAATACAATAACGGTTCGTCCCCAAATTCCAACAAAAATCCAAACAACCACGGAAGGTTGAATACTAAAATAAACGTTCCAAACTTTACTGCGTGGGCTATACACTTGTCCGGTCTCCAATTGCAACACGAGACCTCAAAGAAAAACACACGCACATAGTTCGCTGTTAACAGCAGACGTTCAAAAGCGAAAATTTACGACTGAATGTGGTCACGTAACGTCGACAGCCCTGGCTAACTTTTAGTGCCACTTATTACGTAAACAGCTCCAGTAAAGGACTAAAACCCATGTAGGAAAATGCCAGTCTTGACGACAGGTCCAAACCTGGACCAGTAGTGGAAAACTAAGGATTTCTTTGTCAATATTGGTCAAAATTAGGCACATTAACGTTTGCCCAAGTTTGGTCAAAAACTGGGGCAGCCAATCATTGGTTTGCTAATACTGGTCCAAGGTTCGGAGAATCTTCAAGTGCCAATGGTTAGGTACATTATCGTTTTGCCAAGTTTGGTCCAATTCCGGGTAGCTAAGCATTAGCATGCCAATACTAGTCCAAAGTTCGATTATTTGTCAGGTGTCAAGGGTAGGTTTATTAATATTTCGCTAAGTTTGGTCCAATACTGGACAGATACGTAAGGGTTTGACATTATTGGTCCAAAGTTTGGTTAATCTTTAAATACCGAAGCTAGGTACAATACAATTTCGTCATGTTTGGTCCAATACTGGGGCAGCCAAGCATTGACATGCCAATACTAGACCAAAGTTCTGTTAATTGTCAAGTGCCAAGGCTAGGTTTACTAACGTTTCATTAAGTTTGACATGATATTGGGCAGCCATGTATGGGTTTGACAATACTGGACCATGGACTAAGTTCGATCAAATTTCAAAATTTAAATGTAAATATATGTACATATAAACGTTTCGTCAAGCTACATCCAATACTTGACAACGAAATATCTATTGGCTAAGTTGGATATAATCGTACAGAGATTTAAATAATCCATTTTTTGATGTCTAACATTTGACGTTTGAATAGACAGAGAGACAAAAGGGTAAAGAGAAAGAACGGTAGAAGATACAGCTGTCAACCATTCGATCTGCTAACTTTACCGTTGAACAGCACAAGCAACCAAGGTGTTGTGAAATGATCTTACTTTGTTCACTACCAATATTAAATGTTGCAAATAACTGGTAGTCAGACACCTGAATTTTCATAAATAATTCAATATCCAACGTGTTGGGTAACCAAAAACAATTTTGCTTGCAAATGGCTGCCCGATTTGTCAGAAAACGTGTTTCATTTCAGACAATCTCTACTGTGTGCATGACGAAATAATGGCTCACAAATGTTTCATTTTGCGTGACTTAAATATCGAACATGGAGGCAATAGCATCGTAATAAAAATTGGCAAAGTCGTTTTCAGCGTAAACAAATGACTCTTTAGTGTTTCCTTCAAATCTCAAATAATTATCTATTTAAAAAACTAACAATAATAGTAATAGATAAGTAAAGTAGTAAGCAAAGCCAAAAAGGGAAATAAACAACGATATCAAACATAACACAAACTTTTTAAAACTACCTACTAGAGATTCCCGATCATTTCTGCATCTGGGTTATTGATTGATCGGACAATCGATAATTCTAAATAGATCAATTGATCTAATCTATCAGTCATAATTTACCTATATAAACACACAAATATCATCCTTATATTCACAGACTTCTACATATGGTAATATGTAGACTAAGATGATTAATAATCGATTATCTAATCGATTTTCAATTTTAAAATAAACAATATTCAATGGAGCCGGCTAATTCGATTAATCACAATAATCGATTATCTACTTGCAATCGATAAATAATCGATTGTTAAATTTAATAATCGCCCAAACCTAAATACTATTACATTATCTAATTTTCGTGCAGTGACATTTTAAATGGCAAATGTAGGCAAGTAGAATATTGGGGATGTAGCAACGTCTCGAATAAGCCCATTCATTAAATGCTATATAAAGTCGAACATTAACTAATTAATCTCATCGAAAGAAATTAAATATAGATTCGGTCATACCGGCAACCGTCACTTTCATCGTAAATTAATGAGTCGGGACGGTACCGAGCATTAAGAAAATTATGCACCCAGCATCCTTCGTAGTCATCTTCACGTTCATGTATACCGGAAAGCGGTTTCGATACGGGTCAGTTTTTCCATAAAAAGGTTCCTTACCTAGCGTAAGTATTAACAATGCAATCATCAATGCAAAAAATAAAACCTCTCCGGGAAAATATTCAAAACATTTACTGATTGTAGTCAAAAATTTATTGATTCAATTGCATCAAATGTTAAGGACTCTTTAGTTTATAATTATTGCAAATCAATTGCAAAAGGGCGGAAGAACTATTACGGGAAGATCAATTTAGGTTTAGAAGAAATAGAGGAACGCGGGAGAGTATTCTAGCTTTACGGGTAACAATAGAGAAAACGATAAAAAAAGAGAGAGTGCGTACATAGAATTTGTAGATTTAGAAAAAGCTTTTGACAATGTTAAATGGGACAAGATGTTAAATATACTTAGGACTGACGACCTTATGATGATGATAATTGCAAATGAGGTCATCTAGCCTTTAATACCTAAAGTAAGCCACCGTTGTGATATTGCGTATCAAAGTCAATTGTTTACCTTTATAGGGTGTGTAATAAGCTATATTATTTTATATTGTTTTGGGCATAAGATAATGTATTTTCAAAGGTAATAATTTTAATTCTACTTCTAATTATTAAGGTTGCAAGCTGAGTTTCGTTTCGCTGGAGAAACAATCGTCAGACAATAAAAATAAGAGTGAATCGCATACCTTTCAACTTCCACACTTTAAAAACACGCCCTCGAAGATATATTTCCGTGGATGTCAACAGGATCTGGGACATATACTGAACACAATAGCCACCAGTGTCGTTGACAATTCAACGACAAAGAAGTCAGTACAATGATAACAATAAAGTGGCGACCTGTGAAGTTACATTTTCGGGATGACAAAGGAGATCGTACTCCCCGGGGGAGCTTCGTGGGGGGGCTACCGATCATCTGCATGGGGCTGCTGGCTGCCGTTAGCTCATCTTTCCTTAATTTACGGACTTCAGGTAAACAGGTAGCAGTGACTCAATGAGCCACGGCTAAATTAACCCTCCTACGCGTAACAGGCTTACCAACAATCTTGTCAGGATTATCCGGACAGTTTACGTAAAGCGTTTCTTATTTGAACGTTTATACGAAATAAAAATTTTTTACGGCCACTTTAAGTTAATAATAAAGAAAGCAAAAGCAAGTAGAGGTGCCTACAGTTGGGACAATCAAAATTATCAAAGTCGACAATAAATTATCTGTAAGAATGGACATAGTATCTCAGTCTGCATCTATTTCTGTTACACATTAATTGGTGTAATGTTATTCCTTTTTCGTTATTACTGTCCGCTGCAATTCGTACCTGACATCTCTTTTCTGTGTTTACGATATTCCTTACACTACAACGTCTGTCGTGAGTAAAAGTAGGCGTTCTGTCAGCAACCGCTCTAGTCTAGTTAGTAAGTTGAAAGAAGAAAGTAAATGCGATAGTTTTATAGCGGATTATGTCAATTTTGAATGTTCCAACTATAACTATATGGTACCTACGCGAAAAACAATGAAAACCGGTAAACTATGGTCTGTTACAAATTATAGAGAAATGCAATGAGACAAGGGCTAATAGAAAGCAATTGTTTTCGAAATCGGTCTACTTTGATATGAACCGCCTTTTACGCTACCAATTAGAAGACAATGAGAAATTTTTGAAACGTCTAGGAATGTCAAAATTGGATTTTTGTTATCGGACCATCGTAAAATCGATATCTTTCACAATCCACAATGCGCCTACATTTTAGCGAAATTTTAATTAAACGCCTCTCCAGTGTCATTCACGACAACGACGACAAGTTTCATTTAATTCCATTAACAATCCGACGATTACGACAATCAGAAAAGATCCATTTTATACTGTTGCTAATTTATTAGTTCGATTTTCAATTATCAACGGTAACAACACGCGTGGTCTTGATAACATGCATTTCATAAAATATTTCGTAAAAGCATAACGGCTTGTTAAATAATCTGCGAAAACTGTTTTTAACAGTGACA